AGAAATCGCTGCTGACAATTGCAAAAACGAAATATGAATGTTGTCGTGTCCCAGGGATGGAATTATGGACACAGTGGAATATGTCTGGTGTTTTACGTTGTGGATTCTCAATAGTTGGGAATTTAATGAAATTCGTTTGGTTTTACATAACTTTATTCGTCTTTAAAAGTTTTACTAAAAAAAAAATGTATTCTACATTCGCATTACAATTGAAAATGTTGTTAGTCGAAACGTTTATAAATATAAAACATTATGATACAAACAGCTGCTAAACATAATAAAAGTACGCAGATCTTACAGAATCTGGAGCAGCAACTACTGTCAGCATTTGGTCTTTCGGAATATCCTCGAGATGACCAATATGCAATATTGTTAGGATTCAATTGATTTGCTTTGTTGTTGTCCATGTTTGTCAAGAAATTGCTGCTGACAATTGCAAAAACGAAATATGAATGTTTTCGTGTCCCAGGGATGGAAATCTGGACACAGTGGAATATTGTCTGGTGTTGTCGTTGTAGGAATTAAATAATTCGTTTGGTTTTACTTGGTCTGTCTTCTGCTGAGACTATGTTCGTCTTAGTCTTTTATCAGACTATGGTTCTGCTGAGACTTTGTTAGTCTTTAAATATTTTACTGAGACTAATTCTAAATTATTATTCTACTTACAAAGTTAATTCTTATTAATACGAGGTGGGAGTTGTGATCGGGTGTAGGGCTTTGTATATATTGATGAATAAGCGTTCCCACGGGATTCGGTTTCGGTGGTCTTGTTTATTATAAGACCGGAACAATTAAGATTGTACGTGTAATGATAATGATGTGTTTATAATAACGACTTGAATTCGCAGTAAAGGTATAAAAGTATCAATGGGAATGTTTACCATTGGTCCCCTTTGTTTATATAAAAGTGTATCGAATTGGGATCACGGTGGAGTTTCTATTATGCTGATGTATATGTTTATATAATAATGCGACTAAGAAACGCCGTGGATGTCTCTAGTTCGTTGATAAATAATGACAATTATAATAATAATGGTTGGACACAACAATGTGTCGGTTGACTCGAATCCAAAGAGGAAATTTGAATATGTTATCGGTTATATTTCAATTTCAATTACATTACATAATATAGAAACATTTCTATCACCTATTTTCTCTTTCTTCTTTGGCATGAGTTTCTTGCTACCTTTGAATAAATTTATTTTATCATCCCACAAATTTAAAGAATTACTATTTGCTACAACGTATATGCAATTGGAATTATGCAATTTACTGAAAAAATATTAGCACGTTAGGAATTGTTGTAGGCAACCAATAATTCACCATTACGTTTCAAACTTACATAAGTTACATAATCCAAGGAGAAGGAATGGTAGTAATCGGAGTAATAGAAGAGAAAGGGATGAAAAATATCATTTACAAAAATGCTAGTATGGTAAATTGTAAGGTTTAAAAACTTGAATAAAACACTTTTGAATTGAATATGTATTCTGTATTCGCGTTAAAATTGAAAATGTAGTTAGCCGAGACGTTTATAAATATAAAATAATATGATACAAATATACAAGGTAACACAAACAGCTGTTAAACATAATAACAGTACGCAGATCTCACTGACTCTGGAGCTCTTATTGTTGCTAATGTTATTATTACTACTACTACTACTACTGCTACTGCCAGTATTGCTACTCCAATCATTAGGTCTTTCGGAAAATCCTCGAGACAACCAATATGAATGATGGTTTCGATTCATTTGATTAGCTCTGTTGTCATCGTTGGTCATCTTTGAGCAAAACTTGTTGCACGGAATCTCGAATTAAACTAACACCAGCACGAACCAATCCGAACTGATGCAATTGCAAATGAACTATGATTGATTTCAATCTAGAATTGCTCATTTTTATTGACCTTACTTTGAACTTTATTCGTTACTTTGTCGGGTCGTGAGATTAAGAAATCTCTGGACACCGTGGTTTATCTCGTAGTTATGTCGTTGTGCAATATTACTAATTAGTTTTATTACATACACATTGTAACGTAAAATAGACAACGCTGCAACTACGCTCCACGGTGCAACTATGTTTCCAAAATTCTGGGAGAGCGCAGACGGTTGTGGTCTCCAGTTGAGAAGAAATTATAGATATATTTGTAAGCTCCAAGAGGAGCTAAAGCCCACCGTCGGAGAAGAAGTGTGCTGATCTGAGGAAGCAGTTATAAGAGTTCTTCCTTTCAGAAAAAGGAAGTAGCGCCCTGAACCTTCCCACGTCAAGGACTCACGCCCAGCCAGCGTAGAAGATTTTGTACAATCTTGTGCGCTGTGGTATTACAACATCAATGTTTTGTCCTCTTAAGTTAATAATTAGGAAGACAGTGTTCTTCCTTCGACCCTCAAACTAAGACTATCTTCTATGTTGTTCGACCCTCTCTGACTAAGACTAAATTATATAATACAAAAATGTGTCCATTTCAAAAAGGGGCTGCGCGGGAGTCAAGGAAATCAGTTTTGACATCGTGGATAATACAACTGTTTCATTACCAAAGTTTTATGATCCTATCAAAATATTTAAGGGTGGATGTTGAGGGTTGAGAAAATAAACGCAACTATACGATTTAATGTGTAACCGTTCTTCGGAATATTCCCCAAGTTATTCGATGTGTACTATGGATAAGGTACAGTCTTATGGAAACGTTTTTGGAGAAACTCTGTGGTTTTCTTTATTCGTCTTTCTCTTATTTCAAATTAAAGATTAGAAAAAGTTATCATATTTAGGGAGTTGTCATATTTTTTTTTTAAATAAAATTATGTAATTTTGTATTAACAAACTGAAATTGTTTACAGCATGGGCTTCAGATAGTACTGCTTCTCGATGGAGACTTTTTCCACTTGAGCGAAACAATCGGCGACGGATGTTTTCGTTTCGATCGACTGGAAGGCCATCTCTCGTACCGTCTCCGGATCGACGGTCTTCAGATCCGAAGCCCATCCGATGGCAGCGCAAGCTCTGATGAACTTGGTGGTGCAATCGGTTCCGTACTTGCCAAACTCCGAGCAAAGGTAGTCCCACGGCGCCAAGTAATGGTACTGGATCCAGTAGTTCTTGTCCACAAAGAAGACCATGTTCGTGTCGCACGGAAACCTGAAGAAGATTGCATTCAAGATTTCTTTCAGATTCATGGGGAATGTTAAATCTTACTTCTCTCCTGGTTGCAAACCCCAGATGTGGACGGCGCTATTAACGAGCCACGCGGCGTTCAGAACCATGTAGTATCGGACCCATCCGATCAAAACGCAGGAGACAAGTATGTTCTCGCCCCAATATTCAGCAGGAGCGTTCATCGGCAGCAGAGCGAAAACCACGATGTAAAACACCCAATAATACCTTTAACAAATTAGTATAAGCGATTTCCTTGAAAGTTTTTTGGCAAAACGTACTTCTTCTGGAACATGACGACCTTATCTTCTTCGATATCGGACATGTCGATTTCTGATTCGACCTTATCCTGAAACTCGTGCCTCTTCTGCAAGAAGTGCATGAAGTGCGAATAGACGAAACCTTTCTTGTAATTGTAAGGATCAAAGCTCGTTCCGTTAAACTTGTGGTGGATCCTGTGTTGCAGTACCCAATTGTAAATGCTTCCCTATAATTGTTATATATCCAAAAGTAAGCTACACATAAACAACATTGAATATTGTCCAAATTTACTCACCTGTCCGACCAGAGTCTGACAAAGCATCAGGAAAACCTTTAACTTGGTAGTCGCTTTGTAAGAGTTGTGCGCCCAAAGGCGATGGGAACCGGCAGTAACGCCCAGAATCCCAAGAAGCACCAAGACCAAACCTAAAAGTTTTGATAAAATTGTGAAGAACAAATGATAATTTTGCAGTGTCATGTTTCGATTCTTTACCGTAGAGACATGTCCTCGTCAAGGCGTTCGGCAGCAAGTAGATACCGAGTATGGTTAGGGCGTTCAGATGGAGGAAGACTATCACTTTGAACCAGTCGAATTCCCTCTTGATCTTCTCCGGGATCGGGATTTGCGTCGGTGCTGTCTCTGAAGTCATCCTTAACGAAGTGCTTGTTCTCTGACTGACTGAAGAGCGTCCGCCCGTACACCTTCATTTAAATACAATCGATCCTCGGATATTTAAAATACAAAAACACAATCCGCCTAATCATTCAACAGGAAACTTATTATATTTAAATAATGCAAATAATGAAAAGAACGTAAACGGTAAAGCCTATATCAACTGCGACTTCAATCGCTCACAGTATATATTTTACTTCATTATTTAACTTTCTTCAATCTTATTCACTCTACGTTATTGTTAAATGCAACTTGATCGAGGTGTTTTCCTACGATTTTATCGATTATTATATATTAATTGTTTGAAATATGTTATATTTTTAGCATTGCCGTATCTAAGGTAAATCTTCGAAGAATCACGATAGTGCGGCTTCGATCAGTTAATTTCATGCGTTTCTATAGTCCTCGATCAGTCCGGTATTAAATATTGGCAGAATCGATTACCCGCACTATGCGAGGTATTGCTGTATAAGGAATAAAGTATGAAAAACCTAAGATTTTATTCTTTAAATAAACAACTTTAAACGCGAATTACAGCAAAATTAATGAAATCATAACAATTTAAGAATACTTGCTAAATTCCTCAAACATTCAGCTTTCATAATCATCTTTTGCATCCATTAAATCTACTATAGTTTTCGAGAAAATCACTAAAACGTGAAAATTATGAGCGATTTCAAAAAATATTCAAAACTTAGAAGAATGAAGATAGTGCGGCTTCGATCAGCTATTTTCATGCGTTTCTATAGTCCTCGATCAGTCCGGTATTAAATATTGGCATAATCGATTATCCGCACTATGCGAGGTATTGCTGTATAAAGAATAAAGTATGAAAAACTTAAGATTTTTTTTCTTTAAATAAACAACTTTAAAGCGAATTACAGCAAAATTAATGAAATCATAGCAATTTAAGAATACTTGCTAAATTCCTCAAACATTCAGCTTTCATATGCACCTTTTTTACCCATTCTATCTATTATAGTTTTCGAGAAAATCCCTAAAAATTTGAATATTATAAGCGACTTCAAACATTTTCCAAATCTTCGAAGAATCACGATCTTCGATATATTATTTTTATGCTTTTCTAAAGCCCTCGATCAGTCCGGTATCAAATATTGGCTGAAGCGAGGTATGTATAAAGAATGAAAACCTGAGATTGTAGTCTTTAAGTAAAAGAAAGAAAAAGAGTGTCCATACTTTTCGACGCATTTCTTTAAAATTACAAAATGTAATGATAAAAGTGAAAAAACTAGTGCAATGTAGATTACAATTGTCGCGTTGTGGTTCATTTGAAATTGTGCATCTTTTTACCATATTTCAAAATATTAGATTAAAATAATTTATTATTTTGAAAAAATAAATATTCATAAATTTTAAAAATGTCTCTAGACAAACAGTTTGCAACTAAAACATTATAATTTGATAATTGTACAGCAATTATGACTTCTAATCATCATGGAAACAAAACAATTGGTGACTTTATTTGATTTCCATGATGATTGTAATTACATAACGCATCGATATTGAAAGAAAAAAAATGAATAAAAGCAAATAGGCTAGATCAAAAAAAGCACACACACTCTCAAAAAAAAAACTAGTGTGCGATGTGGACATTGACAATGTTACCATGGTAACTTGGCCTAATTTATTAGCCGTGCATAATTTATGTGTTCGGAGCCCAAACATTGTACATATGAACAACAAGAAAAAAACAGTGGTGGAAACAATTAAAAAAAAATAAAAACATGAGTTATTAATATGATCGTTGAATAATTGATGTTCATAGATCGAGCATTCGAATTAGGTTTTATTCGGTGTATGCAAATATGCAATAACGTACAAAAGTTTTCAATTGCAAATAGCAGAGGAAAAGAAAGTGCGGGTCGTTAGAACTGTGCCAGTTTTGCTGCAGAAACTTTTACTTATCTTCTCACATACATTGCACGTGCATTGCGCTCACAATGTGAACTCTATGATACGGAAATGTTACGAAACTGATTGCGTAATTCAATGGAAGAAATCGTCATGGAAAATTACGCTTAATTTTTTAACATCAATGTTCATAAAATGACGATAGTGCGGCTTTGATCAGTTATTTTCATGCGTTTCTATAGTCCTCGACCAGTCCGGTATTAAATATTGGCAGAATCCATTATTCGCACTATGCGAGGTATTGCTGTATAAGGAATAAAGTATGAAAAACCTAAGATTATATTCTTTATATAAACAACTTTAAACGTGAATTACAGCAAAATTAATGAAATCATAGCAATTTAAGAATATTTGCTAAATTCCTCAAACATTCGGCTTTCATAATCATCTTTTGCATCCATTCAATCTACTATAGTTTTCGAGAAAATCACTAAAACGTGAAAATTATGAACGACTTCAGAAATCTTCCAAATCTTCGAAGAATCACGATAGTGCGGCTTCGATCAGTTACGTTTATGCGAAATGTTACGAAACTGATTGCGTAATTCAGTGGAAGAAATCGTCATGGAAAATTACGCTTAATTTTTTAACATCAATGTTCATAAAATGAGACAAAATCCAAATATGATGTTTTTTTTATAAAAAGTCGTGTAAGAGTTTATATTTTTCTGTAAAACCACAGGAAAACGTTTGTTACGTAATTCAATTAAAAAAATAATCTAAAATATTAACAAAATGCAGTTATTTTTTGAAGATTTTACTCAATTTTAGTTAAAATTGTTTCTTTTGGTTTAGCGTGATGCTTATACTTGGGCCCTGGACCATCGAGTGCATCACAAGTACAGCGAAACCAATGCGGATCCGCACAATGCGAAGCGCGGTTTCTTCTTCAGCCACGTCGGATGGCTTTTCCTGACTCCTCACCCCGACGTCGTGGCCAAACGGAAGACCATCGACATGAGCGATTTGGAATCAGATTCAATTGTTATGTGGCAAAAGAGGTAAAAACTAATCTACAATTATGTTAACACATTTAACAATTTACTCAAATCTCACTCAGATTATATCCGGTGCTATTCGCACTCTTCGTGATCATCCTTCCAGTCTTCATGCCCGTATACCTGTGGAACGAGACCATCTGGAACTCGTTCTGGGTGAACTTCAACACCAGATTCTGCATCACCCTGAACATTGCGTTCTTCGTGAACAGCGTTGCTCACATGTGGGGACAGAAGCCGTACGATAAGTAATCTCAAACGACTTAAATAAAAGCAATCTTCAGACAAAGTTAACCGTTTCTTCCATTATCAGGTACATCAGTTCCGTTGAAAATCTCGCTGTTTCCGTTGCGGCTCTCGGCGAGGGTTGGCACAATTACCATCACGTCTTTCCCTGGGATTACAAAACCGGGGAGCTCGGCAACTCTTACAATCCTTCCACGCATTTCATCGACTTCTTCGCTCGAATTGGATGGGCTTACGAGAGGAAGAGCGCAACCGGAGAGATGGTAGCAAGGAGGGCGAAGAAATCGGGAGATGGAAGTTACGTCTACGAGAACGAGGATGATCCTAATGTCTGGGGTTACGGTGATGCTGATATCCCTGGAGATGATATGCAGGAGCTACAGGATATGAAGGATTAGCCATAATTCGTTGTTTCTTCTTAATTATTCTGTTTTTTTTTGTTCTTTGATTAGTAGTATTATTAACACTTTTAAGTCGATGCTAGTCATATGACCTCCCGACCAAAAACGTATTTAATTCCTTTTGTATAATATATATTTTATTAAACGGTTTTTGAAACGTTTCTCTCGACTTTTATAATTTCCCTTTTCATTTTGATTCTTCTACAAAATCGTTTTCCTCAACATCCTAATTCTTTTGCAAAACCTTATTCTCTTACATAATTCTTAATTTCTGAAACAATCAAAAAAAGTACCATTAACTCAATTTGGTTTGGTTTTCTTCTGCTTCGACCACAATTTCTCTTCATTTTCATTAACATTATTTCTAGTTTCTGTAATAACTAAAAACATGAAATCTTTGTTCATTCATTTAAAACAAAATTTTGTTGCCTTCAGAGACGTAATTTCTCATTGATTTATCTTAACAATATTCAATCTTCTTCAAATATTAAAAAAAAGCAGCATTTTTTTTAAAATAACTCTTTTGTTAAAGATTTGTCTTATTCGAAAATGTATTATAAACTAATTTAGTTTTCTTCAGTTTCAAACCACAAATTCATTCGTATCTTAAGTTTCTTTCAAAGACAAATAACTTTGATAATATTCTTTTGCAAAACCTTATTCTCTTACATAATTTCAAACAATCAAAAAAAGTACCATTAACCAATTTGGTTTGGTTTTCTTCTGCTTCACAACTAATTTTCTTCATTTTCATTAACATTATTTCTAGTTTCTGTAATAACTAAAAACATTGATAATCTTTGATTCAATTATTCAACTATTTTGTTGCCTTCTGAACGTAATTTCCATTGATTTATTTAACATTATTACAATCTTCTTCAAATATTAAAAAAAAGCATTTTTTTTAAAAACTTTTTTTAAATTTGTTCTTATTCGAAAATGTATTATAAACTAATTTAGTTTTCTTCAGTTTCAAACCACAAATTCATTCGTATTTTAAGTTTCTTTCAAAGACAAATAACTTTGATAATATTCTTTTGCAAAACCTTATTCTCTTACATAATTTCAAACAATCAAAAAAAGTACCATTAACCAATTTGGTTTGGTTTTCTTCTGCTCAACTTCATTTTCTAAATTATTCTAGTTTCTGCTTCGACCACAATTTTCTTCATTTTCATTAACATTATTTCTAGTTTCTGTAATAACTAAAAACATGGATAATCTTTGATTCAATTTCATTATTTAAAACAATAAACTATTTTGTTGCCTTCAGAACGTAATTTCCATTGATTTTTCTAACATTATTTCAATCTTCTTCAAATATTAAAAAAAACATTTTTTTAAAATAATGTTCTTATTCGAAAATGTATTATAAACTAATTTAGTTTTCTTCAGTTTCAAACCACAAATTCATTCGTATTAAGTTTCTTTCAAAGACAAATAACTTTGATAATATTCTTTTGCAAAACCTTATTCTCTTACATAATTTCAAACAATCAAAAAAAGTACCATTAACCAATTTGGTTTGGTTTTCTTCTGCTTCGACCACAATTTTCTTCATTTTCTTAACATTATTTCTAGTTTCTGTAATACTAAAAACATTGATAATCTTTGATTCAATTTTGTTGCCTTCAGAACGTAATTTCCATTGATTTATTTAACATTATTACAATCTTCTTCAAATATTAAAAAAAAGCATTGCCATTTTTTTTAAAAATAACTTCTTTTGTTTAAAGAATTTGTTCTTATTCGAAAATGTATTATAAACTAATTTAGTTTTCTTCAGTTTCAAACCACAAATTCATTCGTATTCTTTAAGTTTCTTTCAAAGACAAATAACTTTGATAATCATTTAATCACCTCAAAAACGCAACTTCTATAAAAAAAAATCCAGTTTTTTCAATACTAAAAATCTGTTCAAACTAATTTAATTGTTGCTACGGCAACATACAAAGAACACTGCCTCGAGGTACATCATACACATTTGGAGAGAGCTTACATCCTGCACGTTTTCTTCAGTATTTAACTGGTGTCCTGATTATTAAATTCCTTATAAATCTCTGTGGAATTTGCAGTCTCACTGATAATATTTGTAATCCAATGTGAAATACAGTTACGAATTTCAAATTTGACCTTTCATTGTTC